GTTTTTAATGTGAAACCTTCTCGAGAGTCCCAATTGTCATTTTTACAATTGTAAAACCTTCTCGGGGGCGCTAAATATATTTTTTTTAAGAATGTAAAACTTTCTCGGGGGGGCCGAGTTGTCTGTTTCAAAAATGTCCTAATTATCTTTTTTAAAGACGTAAAACCCTCTCGGGGCCCCCAATTTTCTTTTTTAAAAATGTGAAAACCTTGTCGGGGGCGTCAAAAGTTTTTTTTTATAATGTAAAACCTTCTTGGGGTTCCAATTGTCTTTTTCAAAATGTAAAACCTTCTCAGAGGCACCAATTTTTTTTTGAGAATGTGAAACCTTCTCGTGGGTCCCAACGGTCTTTATGAAAAATGTAAAACCTTCTCGAGGGTATCAACTGTCTTTTTTATAAATGTAAAACCTTCTCGGGACCCCAAATATCTGTTTTTTTAATATGAAACCTTCTCGGGAGTCCCAGATATCATCTTTAGAAATGTAAAATATTCGCGGGAGTCCCAATGGTCTTTTCTAAAATTGTAAAAACCTCTTCAGATGTGCCAAATGTTTCTTTAGAATGTGAAACCTTCTCGGGAGTCCCAATTATCATTTTTAAAGATGTAAAACTTTATCGGGACTCCCAATTGTCTTTTCTAAAAACCTAAAACCTTCTCAGGGAATCAAAAGTCTTTTTTTAGAATGTAAAACCTTCTCGTGGGTCCCAATTGTCTTTTTCAAAATTGTAAAATCTTTTCGGAGGCGCCAATTTTTTTTGAGAATGTAAAACTTTCTCAGGGGTCTCAACGGTCTTTTTTAAAAAGATAAAACCTTCTGAATGGTCTCAACCGCCTTTTTTATAAATGTAAAACCGTCTCAGGACCCCAAATGTCTGTTTTTTAATGCGAAACCTTCTCTGGAGTCCCAATTATCATTTCTAAAAATGTAAACACCTTGGATGCGCCAAATGTCTTCCTGCTATTATGAGACCTTCTCAGGGGTCCCAACGGTCTTTCATAAAAATGTAAAACCTTCTGGGGGGTCTCAATTGCCTTTTATAAAAATGTAAAACCTTCTCGGGGGTCCCGACTGTTTTCTTAAATAATGTAAAACCTTCTCGGGCGCGTCAAATGTCCACTTACTAATATGAAACCTTCTCAGGGGTCCCAAGTGTCTTTTTTAAAAATCTCTGGGGTCGTAATTGTATTTTTTTAAGAATGGGAAACCTTCTCTGGGTCCCAAATAACTTTTTTTATAAATGTTAAACCTTCTCGGGAATCCTAGTTATCCATTTTAAAGATGTAAAACCTTCTCAGGGCTCCCAGTTGTCTTTTCTAAAAATGTGAAACCCTCTCGGGGGTCCCAACCGTTTTTTTAATAATGTAAAACATTCTGGGGCGCGTCAAATGTCTACTTACTGATATGAAACCTTCTCAAGGATTCCAAGTGTCTTTTTTCAAAATCTCTGGGGTCCTAAATGTATTTTTTTAAGAATGTGAAACCTTCTCAAGATCCCGACTGTCTTTTTTATAAATGTTAAACCTTCTCGGGAGTCCTAATTATCTTTCGAAAGATGTAAAACCTTCTCGGGGCTCCCAGTAGTATTTTCTAAAAATGTAAAAACTTTGTCGGGGGCGCCAACAGTTTGTTTTTATAATGTAAAACTTTCTCAGGGTTCCCAACGGTCTTTTATAAAAATGTAAAACCTTCTCGGGAGTCCTAATTATCTTTTTAAAGACGTAAAACTTTCTCGGGGCTCCCGGTTGTCTTTTCTAAAAATTGTCAGGGGGGGGGGAAGTTTGTGTTTATAATGTAAAATATTCTCAGAGTTCCCAACCGTCTTTTATAAAAATGTAAAACCTTCTCGGGGGTCCCAACCGGCTTCTTTAATAATGTAAAACCTTCTCGGGCGCGTGAAATGTCTACTTACTAATGTAAAATCTTCTCAGGGCCCAAGTGTCATTTTTAAAAATCTCTGGGGTCCTAATGCTTTTTTTTAAGAATGGGAAACCTCAGGTTCCCAACTGTCCTTTTTATAAATGTTAAAACTTCTCGGGAGACCTAGTTATCTTTTTTGAAGATGTAAAACCTTCTCGGGGCTCCCAATTTTTTTTTCTCAAAATGTAAAACCTTGTCGGCGACGCCAAAAGTTTTTTTTACAATGTAAAACCTTCTCAGGGGTCCCAAGTGTCTTTTTTAAAAACCTCTGGGATCCTAAATGTATTTTTTTAAGAATGGGAAACCTTCTCAGAGTCCCAACTGTCTTTGTTATAAATGTTAAACCTTCTCGGGAGTCCTAGATATCTCATTTAAAGTTGTAAAACCTTGTCGGGGGCGTCAAAAGTTTGTTTTTATAATGTAAAACCGTCTCAGGGTTCGCAACAGTCTTTTATAAAAATGTAAAACCTTCTCGGGAGTCCCAATCGTCTTTTATAAAAATGTGAAACCTTCTCGCGGGTCCCAATCGTCTTCTTTAATAATGTAAAACCTTCTCGGGCGCGTCAAATGTCTACTTACTAATATGAAACCTTCTCAGGGGTCCCAAATGTCTTTTTTAAAAACCTCTGGGGTCCTAAATGTATTTTTTCAAGAGTGGGAAACCTTCTCAGGGTCCAAACTATCTTTTTAATAAATGTTAAACCTTCTCGGGACTCTCAGTTGTCTTGTCTAAAAATGTAAAAACCTTGTCGGGGGCGCCAAAAGTTTGTTTTTATAATGTAAAACCTTCTCGGGCGCGTCAAATGTCTAATTATTAATATGAAAACTTTTCAGGGGTCCCAAGTGTCTTTTTTAAAAACCTCTGGGATCCTAAATGTATTTTTTTTAAGAATGGAAAACCTTCTCAGAGTCCCAACTGTCTTTGTTATAAATGTTAAACCTTCTCGGGAGTCCTAGATATCTCATTTAAAGTTGTAAAACCTTCTCGGGGCTCCCAATGTCTTTTCTAAAAATGTAAATGTAAATGTAAAAACCTTGTCGGGGCCGTCAAAAGTTTGTTTTTATAATGTAAAACCTTCTCAGGGTTCCCAACAGTCTTTTATAAAAATGTAAAACCTTCTCGGGAGTCCCAATCGTCTTTTATAAAAATGTGAAACCTTCTCGCGGGTCCCAATCGTCTTCCTTAATAATGTAAAACCTTCTCGGGCGCGTCAAATGTCTACTTACTAATATGAAACCTTCTCAGGGGTCCCAAGTGATTTTTTTTTAAATCTCTGAGGTCCTAATTGTATTTTTTTAAGAATGGGAAACCTTCTCAGGGTCCCAGCCGTCTTTTTTAATAATGTAAAACCTTCTCGGGTGCGTCAAATGTCTACTTACTAATATGAAACCTTCTCAGGGGTCCCAAATGTCTTTTTTAAAAACCTCTGGGGTCCTAAATGTATTTTTTCACGAGTGGGAAACCTTCTCAGGGTCCCAACTATCTTTTTAATAAATGTTAAACCTTCTCGGGACTCTCAGTTGTCTTTTCTAAAAATGTAAAAACCTTGTCGGGGGCGCCAAAAGTTTGTTTTTATAATGTAGAACCTTCTCGGGCGCGTCAAATGTCTACTTATTAATATGAAAACTTCTCAGGGGTCCCAAGTGTCTTTTTTAAAAATCTCTGGAGTCCTAAATGTATTTTTTTAAGAATGGGAAACCTTCTCAGGATCCCAACTGTCTTTTTTATAAATGTTAAACATTCTCGGGGGTCCTAGTTGTCTTTTTTAAAGTTGTAAAACATTCTCGGGGCTCCCAGTTGTCTTTTATAAAAATGAAACAACCTTGTCGGGGGCGCCAAAAGTTTGTTTTTATAATGTAAAACATTCTTAGGGTTCCCAACGGTCTTTTATAAAAATGTAAAACCTTCTCGGGGGTCCCAACAGTTTTCTTTAATAATGTAAAACCTTCTCGGGCGCGTCAAATGTCTACTTACTAATATAAAACCTTCTCAGGGGTCCCAAGTGTCTTTTCTAAAAATCTCTGGGGTCCTAAATGTATTTTTTTAAGAATGGGAAACCTTCTCAGGGTCCCAACTATCTTTTTTATAAATCTTAAACCTTCTCGGGAGTCCTAGTTATCTTTTTTAAAAATGTAAAACCTTCTCGGGGCTCCGAGTTGTCTTTTCTAAAAATGTAACAACCTTGTCGGGGGCGCCAAAAGTTTGTTTTTATAATGTAAAACCTTCTCAGGGTTCCCAACGTTCTTTATAAAAATGTAAAACCGTCTCGGTGATGCCATTTTTTTTTACAATGTGAAACCTTCTTATTGGTCCCACCTGCTTTTTTTGATAATGTAAAACCTTCTCGAGGCCGCAAATGTAATTTTTAAAAATGTAAAACCTTCTCGGGGGTCCCAAATGTCCTTTTTTAAAGAAGACGAAACCCTATCGGGGCTCTCAACTGAATTTTTTTAGAGGAAAGCGAAACCTTTGTTTTTATTACACTGTGACTAGTACCTTCTATGTTGTTTTTACTCCATAGAGGTTACCACGAAAATGTAAAATTCCGGAAAATCAAATTTTATCATTTTTCAGAAAAGCAGTATTTGTTGGACTTCAGAAGTTTTGTCGAAATAACTTTTGACTAATGTTTTATTTTTTATTTTTTAATGAGTATTTAATATCAAGCCAGAAATTCTCGAGTTTCCAAAAAAAACAACAATAAATAATGATAGTAATATTGTTATATAACAGTTACAGTTCTGTAGTTGGCAAGTTATAAATGGCGACTATATACACAATACAACGAAGTTAAGTAACTGTTATGTCGCCGTTATAGCCGTGTCAGACGGAAATTGGTATGGAGTTGTTATGTGGCAGTTATGTTACGGCGACATAACATTTGCATAACGTTAAAGCAGCAGAAATCAGAATATATAACTGTTATAATATTGTCGTTATATTCGCTTGAGACGGAAACTGAAATAGAAACATTATATTGACGGCTATATAACCTGTTTCATCTTTTGTAACAATATTATGTCATCGTTATATAACTGTCAAGCTTTGTATTTTCTGGGTGATGGCGCTTTAGCCTTACCTGCCGCATCTCTAGTTCGAAGCTCCGAGGACGGGCGAGGTCGTGGCTTTTCCTCTTCGACAATGAGTTCGACTTCTCGTTTATACAAATGGAACAAACTTGCGACACACTGTAGACGAGCTTTTCCACCTTCGAACGTATTACTATCAATTTCGAGCTCTAAAGCTGACTGCGTAATATGTGGTTGGCGCCGACTGTCGGTTACAATGGCGTTCGGCACTGGAATGTGTTTAAGCGAACTTGCGTTGATCTGAAACAATTTCGACTGTCAGTCGTGAAAGAAAAAGAAAAAATGCGAAAATACCGCCACGCTTCAACATTCTCATTAATATACAGCATGGCCCAGAAAGTTTGGACGAATACGCAAATAACCGCGGTTTTAAATGCAATGCGCTAAGACCTCCTGGTAAAGATCCTCGTCAGGTTAAAAATTAACTAACGCTTCGGTAACCTGTATCGACATGAATTAGTTCAAACAATTCGCATATTTGGAGCACATTTTCCACTCGATGTTCGTGGAAAATGTGACATCTACAAGCGTGTTTCACGGCGTATTGTCAACACGCCGCCATATTGCCGCCCCCTTCCGCTCCCGAAGTGACAACAACACCTACCGATTAATCACCCCGAGTGCGTTGCCAACAAAAATACACCGTTAACTACATTTCATTAGTTATTAGGAGAGTGAAGTTGAGTGCGGCCCACAATATATCATTTCTTGTTTACTGTGGCGTTATTAAATTTAAATTTATGGCAGCAATTGCATTTGTCATTTTAATTGTTACATACTTGCTTGCGTTTGCTGAATTCAAGTAGGCCGTAATTAATTAACAAATTAAATTAATGGGCGCTTGTCGGACGCATCAACGCCATGTTTGATGGATCGGGGGCGGGGGGAGGGAGCGAATGTAACAAAAAGTGGTGATAGTGAGAGTTTTTTTGGTGGAGATAAAAGGGCGCTGGAGAGGCTGGAAGTTTTACGAACATGCACGAACACGAGCGTGGATTTCGGAGAAAGTGGAGGACCTACGTTGTGAAATTCAAGCGAGACAATGAATTTTCGCATCATCAACAGTTTCAGTCTAAAATATTTTCCTGCTGAAAGGAAAAACTTCGAAGCACTCGCTTATATTTGATCTATTCATAGATAAGCATCCTAGCAAAGCTCTCATTTTCCTATATGCAGCCAAGCTAATCCTTCTTCAAAACCCACCTGCAGCTCATCCGCTTTCCGAATTTTCCGTTTTCAAAGAAGTCGCAAACACCCTCCTCGATCTCCCTCTTTAATTACCGCCGTTCCCATTTAAAATTCAGAAAGACCGCCGCGCATACCTGCATGCGAAAGCTTAAAATAACAGTGTCTATCGGGCTTTTATAGGTCGGAGCTTTATTAAAAGCTCCCGACATCCACGTAAACGCTTTTTATCGGTCCCGTTTTCCATCAGGAGCGTTCATGGCAGGCGGCAATATTTCAGCAGCGGAAAACAAACGAAGCTCAAACTGAAAGAAATTATGAATAATTTTCAATTTTCAAATTCCGACGTTCAAACGTTTCCTGTGCATATGAGTTCGTGACTTTAATTTTGATCGTGTGGATCTTTCGACTTCTTACGAGTGTCAGGAGCAGGACTCGAGCTATCTACGTGACTTCATTATTGTCACCGCAGGCGTTTTTCTTCGTGAAACTTTATAACATCTTTTCATTTTCTGCCGGAATATGTGGATATTAACTTAGGAAGACAATTTACAGGGAATCGATGGCAAACGGCGCTTCCGAGGGGAGATTTGCGGAATGGGTACTCTGTCTTCATTTGGAGATGGGGATGTGATAAGGTCATAAAGTAATAAGTGAGAGTGTGGAAAAATGCGCTGACTTATGCGACATACGTGAAATGTGACTTGTGTAAATTTTCTGACACGAAGGCACATTCAAGAAAAAAGAGCGCTCCTTGAGAGAAAAACTCTTCTAACTTAATTATCCGTGCCAAATGCGTCTTGAGTCCGTTTACCGAACAGATGGAATTGAAAATCTCAATTTTCTATAGCCCTAAGCACACGTTTCCTGCGAAAGTCATTTTTAATATTTCCGGTAGCAAAATGCGGACATTTCAATAACCCAAATCTATTTTTCTGCATCAACCATCAAAGAACAAATTTTATTACACAGCTAAGTCCCTAGGTACGTTTTAACATAATTAAAACACCCATTTACAGACTCTCACTCAAGATATTTCTTGCTTTTCTAGAGTGAGCTTTGATGTGTTAAATACACCAAGCCCTCCTACAACATTTTTTTCGGGTTCTCTTCCTGTATCAATTAGTTCGTGTTGGGTTTCGTAAAGCGAATTCTCTCGAATTCTTTTGGATTCTGTAAAATTTTCTCTGTTATTTTCGGATTCCGTTCGACTTTCTCGGATAATCTTGGATTCTTTCAAATTCGTCCGGATTTTCTCAAATCTCTCGTATTCTCCCATACTTTCTCACATTCTTCCAAATTCTCTGTGTTCTTCCCGGAATTCCGTAGGATTCTCCTATATCCCCTAGTATCCTTTCGGAATTACACAGACCCTCTAGAATTCGATCTCTTGAATTATCTCGAATTTTCTCGAGTTTCCTCAAATTTTTTCAAAATTAATTCGATTCCTTGCGTCTAGTCGAGAGCTTTCTAGTAGGTAAGCACGGCAATGGCGAGTAATTCATCGTTGGTGACGGCGGCCGAGCGGTGTTCGAAAAGCCTGGAAGCGGAAGTCGCGATGGGTATTCGAGAAAGACCTCGATCGCAGAAGAATGAGTTTAATTAGAGGACACCTTCGGGAACGACTATTATGCAGCCAGTTGAGTCAAAAGTCCAGTCAAGAGCCGGAATTATATTATACATAATCGCTGTAATAATTAGTCGTGTAAGTTCGACTTGGTTAGAAATAAATTGTTGAGTTTTATCCACGCCGATTTTAAATACCCAGTAAACGTTACAGTATTATTTCGGATTCTCTCGATTTCTTTCAGGTTCTTCCGGATTCTCTTCGAATCCCTAGGATTTTGGTTATTTTTTTTTCGTATATTCTCGAATTCTTTCTATGCGGTTCGTATTCTATGGGATTCTTTCAGATTCTATCGTGGTTTCTCCTATCCTCTCGGAATTTGGGCAAATTCTCACCTTTTCTTTTCGGATTCTGAGAGATTTTTCCGGATTCTCTCACATTCTCTTGAACTTTTATGGATTCTTCCAAATCTCTTGGATTCTCTCGATTTCTTCAGATTCTTCCCGATTTTTTTTCCTATCCGGTTAGAATTTGACTGGATTCTCTTGTATTCTTTTGGATACTTTCTGATCTGGATTTTTTCGGATTATCTTCTATTCTTTCAGAATCTTTGCTTATTCTTTGGATTCTTTCGGATTCTCTTCTATCCTATCGGAATTTGACTGTATTCTCTTGAATTTGACCATATTCTCCTGTACACTCTCAAATTCTTTCAAATTCTCTCTCTGAGATTCTTTCAGATTCTACCGTAGTCTCCCCTATTCTCTCGGAATTTGCCAACATTCTCCTGTATTCTCTCGGATTACTTCGGGCTATTCATGATTCTCTCGGAATTTGGTTGCATTCTCTCATATTCTCCCGTATTCCTTTGAGATTTTTTACGCATTCTTTCCGAAACTTTCGGATCTCTAATTGTTTCGGATTCTCTCGGATTCTTTTGGATTCTGTGAAATTTTCTCTGATATTTTCAGATTCTGTTCGACTTTCTCGGGTTATCTTGGATTCTTCCAAATTGATCCGGATTCTCCCAAATTCTCCAGGATTTTTTTGGATTCTCCCATATTCTTTCCGTTTCTCTAGTACTCTCTTGCATTCTTCTAAATTCTCTGCGTTCCTCCACGAATTGCGTATGATTCTCCCATTTCCTCTTGTATTCCCCCGATTCACACATACTCTCTCGAATTCTCTTGAATTTTCTTTCGAAATTGATTCGGTTCCTCGCGTATTATTTCAGATTTTATAGGATTTTCTCCAATTATTTTCGGATTCTATCGAATTCAATCGAATTCTTTCTAATTCTTCCGTACTGTCTAGTATCCTGTCGGTTTCTTTCTGATTTTTCCGGATTCTCTCTGGTTTTTCGGATTCTTCCGGAGTCTTACCTATTCTACCCGAATTTGTCTAGATTCTCTCGTATACTCTCGGAATCTTTCGAATTCTCTAGATGCGATTCTCTCACAATTTATACGAACTCGCTCGTATTTTCTGGGATTCCTTCAGATTCTACCGTAGTCTCTCCTATTCTCTCGGACTTTGGCCAGATTCTCTCGTATTCTCTCGGGTTGTTTCGGATTCTTCCGGAATTAAACGTTTTCAGTCGGATTCTTTCAGATTTTTCCGGATTCTCTCACCTTCTCTTGGATTCTTATGGACTCTTCCGAATTCTCTCGAATTCTTTCTATGCGGTTTGTATTCTCTGGGATTCTTTCAGATTTTATCGTAGTCTCTCCTATCCTCTTGGAATTTGGCCAAATTCTCGCGTATTCTTTCGAAATTTGGTTGGATTCTCGCATATTCGCTCGTATTCTTCCTGATTCTGCCGGATTTTCACGATTTTTTTCGGATTCTGAGAGATTTTTCCAGATTCTCTCACATTCTCTTGGACTCTTATGGTTTCTTCCAAATCTCTCGGATTATCTCGATTTCTTCAGATTCTTCCCAGATACTTTTTCCTATCCTGTTGGAATTTTACTGGATTCTCTTGTATTCTTTTGGATACTTTCTGATCTGGATTTTTTCACATTATCTTGTATTCTTTCAAAATCTTTGCTTATTCTTTGGATTTTGTTGGATTCTCTCGAATCATCTTTGAATTCTCCAAGATGCTGAAATATAATAATTTAGTTTGCGGATTCTCTCGGATTGTCTCCCATTATACACAATTACTCTCGGATTCTTCGGTATTATCTCCAATTCTCTTTATATTTGGCCGAATTTTGAGGCATTCTCTCGGATTCTTTCGCATTCTTCTGGATAATCTCCGATTCTTTTGGAATTTAGGCGGATTCTCTCGTATTCACTTAGATTCTTCCAGATTCTCTTGAAATTTGATTGGATTCTCTTATATTCTCTCGTATTTCTTTGAGATACTTTACATATGCTTTCCGAAATTTTCGGATACACCGAGCCCTCCTACAACTTTCTTTTCGAGTTTTAAAAATTGTTTCGGATTCTCTCGAATTCTATCTAACTTTCTCGGATTATCTTG